ATACTCAACTTTTTACTTACTTAACTTTTTAAAATCTTTTCTTGGTTACAGATTTTGAACATGCCTGTTGTCCTTTTCAATGCTCTTACGTTTTTCAATAGAACACAATAGATTTAGCACTGAGTCAAGTGTCTTTAGGGACTCAGCAAATATGAATCAATGATATCACAATGAGGGGTTTGGAGTGTAAAGGCTCAACCAGTGAATAATGTGTGCAGTCTAAATTCAATCCAGTTCAGATTATTCATACAGAATTTTTCAGATGAGACATTGTCCCAACACAGGTTTTCTGAAATGCAGATCTAGTGCCCTAATTAGCAAATGTGTAACAAACTCGCCTAAAAGCAAAAGGAAACAAGACTCAATAGGCAAACTTATTCTTTTCTGGGAACTTGGACATATAGCAGAATTATAATAAACAAATTACATTTCTGGTTAAACTAATGAGTTTAGTCAGAGCCAGCTCTACCTAATAAGCAAAATAAGCAGCTGCTTAGGGCCCCGCATCCACCAGTGGGCACTCTAACAATTTCTGGGTTGTTACCACACTATTATGTTGTCAAAGATGCTTGAGTGAGGAGGAAACAGCAACTGGTTTATCATATTTCACAAAGGAACCCATGCATCTGGAGCCGAATAATGGGAAAAAGACGATGGAAAGGAAAAACGTAAAGATGTGCTTTCATGGTGTTAATGTTATGCTATTTGTTTTGGCTTCCTGACAACAAGAAGGAGTCAATTAGGGGTCTGTTTAAAAAAGCAGGTTCAACTCAGACCTGCTTTCTAAGGCTTGCTGAAAGTTTCAACATTGCAAAACTTAACAAACACAGCTGTTAACCTCTTAAAATCCCAGGGTTATTATTCAGTAACTACAGGGACTTCAGTGCAAACTTGCTGAGCTATTCATAAGTTATAGAAGTGTGTAATAAAACTTTGGGCCTGCAAATGGGCCGTGGCCATGTAAGAGGTTAACTTGTTTTACGACAGCAGTTAACAACTTTGTCTGTTACTCCTGGTTTAGATACTCAGACTGTGATTGATCTTCATGTGTGGGCACTTGAAAGTGTGATGTTTATGATTATAAGCCAATCACATGAAAGAAAAGGGAAAAGAAATACTACCTAAATAGGTAGAAAGTGAAATTTAAATCAGAACTTATTTCAACCCCAAACGAGCATTCAAACATAATTTAGACAGCTTGTGGTAGTCGTTGCTATTAGTTAGCTTTCCATCAGCTAGTAAGATGAAGGGTTCCCCCAAGCATTCGAGTCAAACACAAGACAGATCTGTGAGATAAAGCAAAGACTAATGTAAGCAATCAGTAAATTGCTTCAGCATCTGCCCATTGCCTTTTATTATAAGTGTTATGAGTCGATGGGCTTTCTGTTCTTTTCTAAGTAAAAACCTCTGAATTATTGTCAATGAAAAATGACCCTATGCTACAGATATGACGGTTAAAGATTAGGTTGAAAAACACTGTAGTATTTGTGGAATAATGAAGAAGTATATATTAAAATTAATGGGATCATAAACATAATCAAATCAACAATATAACAGCTATTACTGCCAGGCCATTTTGTAAGGAAAGACGAAATGCTTATTTTTATCTCTCCATTAAACAGTGTTTTTTTCCTGCAGACTGAACTCTCTCTCTGTCTCTCACACACACACGACTCACAGAACTGATGAGGAGGAAGACGGGAAAAGAAAGCATCTATTATGATACAAGCTGCTTGCTCTTGGTCAGACAAAACAAATATATCGACAAAGAACAAAACAAGCTGCTCATTACAGACCACCACACATCTAAACCCAGCTGGCAGTGTGAGCTGGTTCTTTCTGCTGTGAAGTCTCGGATACATAATTAATTGGTGTGTGTGTGTGTGTGTGTGTGTGTGTGTGTGTGTGTGTGTGTGTGTGTGTGTTTGTGTGTGTGTGTGTTTTTGTGTGTGTGTGTATGTTCATGCTAAAGCTGTAATTACTGTTTCGGGAGACACTGGCTGACAGCATGGGCTCCTAGGTCAAATCTTCTTGTCTACTAATTGTACTAACCACTATAAATGTGTGTGTGTGTGTGTGTGTGCATGGAGCATTTTGTCACTGTCCGGAAAAAAATGATCTACCAAATATTGTAACTTTACAGGAGAAGATAACAGTGTTATTAGTCTTTAATGATGTGAAGCGGTATTATTAGTTTTGGAGCATTTCTATTGGTCAATTCATCATAAAAGTTTCTCACAATGTAAAGGACAGCAGCTGAGCTCAAATGACGTAGAAAGACTTTAAAAATGATGATTTGGATGTTTATTTCTTGGACAGCATTTGTAATTTGATGTTGTTACAATCTTGAAAAAATATACACCATAGACAGCCAGATAGATAGACAGGCAGATAGATAGATAGATAGATAGATAGATAGATAGATAGATAGATAGATAGATAGATAGATAGACTGACGGATAGACAGACAGACAGATAGATAGACAGATAGATCCAAAAAATATATGCATATCATTTTTATGCATATCATCTGTCCACATAATTTGAGCTGAGCTGCTGTCCTTTACATTGTGAGAAAATGTCATGATGAATTGACAAACAGAAATGCTCCAAAATTGATAATATTGCTTCACATCATCTTACATTCCAAATCAAGAACGTTCTGTCTTCTCCTGTAAAATATTTGGTAGATAGTTTTTCTGGACAGTGACAGAATACTACACGCCCCCCCCCCACTCACATACACACACACACACACAGACCCATACACACACACACACACACACACACATTACTAGACAAGGAGATTTGACCTAAGAAGGCAATTGAGGCTGTCTGTCTGTCTGTCTATCTATTTGTCTGTCTATGTCTGTCTGTCTGTCTGCCTGTCTGTCTGTCTATCTATCTATCTGTCTATCTATCCATCTGTCTAGCTGTCAGTCAGTCTATCTATCTGTCTGTCTGTCTGTCTGCCTGTCTGTCTGTCTGTCTGTCTATATATCTATCTATCTATACAGTACTCGTACTGGAAAAGTACTCATAGGGTGCCTTTGAACATCCTTACAAACTAAAAATCTATATCTTCAGCTCAGACCGCTTCACGCTAATTAATACACTGCAGTGTTTTACAGAACAGCTTTTCTGTATATCCGTTTTTAGTTACTTCTTTATTTCCTTCTGTCTTTCAAGCGGCCGTGTGATGGTTACTGACAGTTTGAAACATTGCTCGTGACGGCGCATTTAGAGGAATGATTTAGTCCATTAGGCGCTCATTCCCTCACCGCCGCTCTCCAATCAGCGGCGGAGCACTGTACGCGGAGTTTGCGGGATTTTGGAGTGGCTGAGCGCGCATAATCAACTCATTTGGGATTTGAGGGGAAATGAGCGGAGTATTATTTGCTTTTCGGAATAAGTTTCGGCTGCTTGTCATTCTCGGGGGGATTTCGGCCCAGTCATAGTGGAGAGTGCCCACCGGACTGCGAGCGGACATCCAGATAATTTGATGGCGCCTTTAATAGACCATATTTGAACACCGCATAATCGAGGATCCCCCGGTGTGGCCTGACGCGGAAAACGTAGACATACGTCTTATACGAAGTAAATGGAGTGTCCGTTCACGTTAAAGTCCCCAAAGTGAAACTCTTCCGGTCATGATCACACCGTGGGCACTTCGCGTTCTTAAGTAATTAATATTTCGGCCTGTCCTAGCCTGCTACATGTTGAGGACACAAAGAGAGAAATCAACTTTGAAAAGTTACATCTCAGACATCTCAGACATCTCAGGCATCTCAGGCATCTCAGGCATCCAGTCTTGAACAATTGTCTCAAATCAATCCGTGACACACCGAACTGTAAGCTCATAATTCAACTCTCGCCTGTAAAGTATATACCTGACTGTCTGCAGGAGCTATCAGTTTTATGAATGAGTCCCTTCGCTGTAATCCGTTGGAGAGTGTCCAGCACACACGCATCGTTTGTTTTCCCGCCCGTATTCCGTCCTCTGCGCTAGGATTGGCAGAGCCTTTACTGGACAGTAATTTCTCAGCGGCTGCTTTGATTGACTACTACTAGTCTTAAGAACTTTGATAGAATTTTAGCCAAATATTTTAAGGTTTGATATGACAGGTTTGATAAGCTTGGCTAGTAAGCTTTGATTGACCAGTAGCTCAGCTGGAGCTATGATTGACGGAATGCTTGTGTCTGAACTAGTCCTGGTCCAGGAAATGGGAAACTATTAGCCAATTACAGCCCAAGAGAAATGGTTTGCTGGAATTGGGGTGAGGAAAATAAAGCCTACTGCTTCTCTTAACTACCAGCCAATCCTAGCCCGGGGGCGTGGTTTATTGGATTTGGGGTGAGGGGAATAAAGTCTACTGCTTGTAGTAACTACCAATCCAATCCTGGAACATGGGGTGTGGTTTGCTGGAGTTTGGGTGAGAAAACTAAATCTTACTGCTTGTATTAATTACTGGCCAATCCCGGCAAAGTCGTCTACTTGTGACTATGAACTACCAGCCAATCCCAGCGCAGGTGGGCGTGGTCTGTTGCAATATCGGTGAGGAATATAATGGCAAGATGAAATCCTTGTAAACTAGCAGCCAAACCCAGCGCAGGGGGCGGGGCTTGTAGCAATAAATGGTGGATAAATAACGGACTGCGAATGAGTGTAAACTACGAGCCAGTGCGCGGGGCGTGGCGTGACGTAATACAAGTGGATAAATAACGGACTACGTATGAGTGCAAACTACGAGCCAGTCCCAGTGCGGGGGGGCGTGGCGTGACGGAATACAGGTGGAAAAATCAAGAGCCACACATGACGTCTGGGCCTACGGGGAGCCACAACCCCCTCCTCAGGTCAAAACCTGCAGTGCACACGACTTCCAGATGATGAATCAATGACATCAACGAGACGAAGCCTCCACTGAAATGACGCTCGAGCGGCCGGTCCGACGGGGGCGGGAGCGGCTATATAAGTTCAAACTTTAAAGGAGCACACCACGAGTCTCGGCCTTAACGGGTCAGCAGCGGTCAGGACCGGAGCGGAACAACGTTCATCTGGTCACTGATACTATTAGACCGCCGTTCAACGGGGCTTTAACACCAAAGGCTGAGTCAACGTCCTATAACAGAGGTAAGGATGCTTAACTGCCTATGTACTGTTTTTTTTTTCAGTGAGCTCACACAGAACCTCCGGCGCTGAACCTCTTCGGGATGATGCTCCTCAAGCTTTATAACTTTGTTTTTGTCTTATTCGGTACCAGGGCCCAGCTGCAGTGGACATGAGGGCGGCCAGCCTTATCCTCCTCTCCTCTCTAGCGCTGTGCAGCCTGAGCGGGATCCAGTGCCAGAACATACCGGCTGAGGAGGAGCCTGGAGAGCGCCCGAACGTGGAGGAGGTCCTGCAGCGCGCGCACAGTCTACTCATGCGCTCCATCCTCAAGAAAATGGAAGAAGAGGAGAACGCAGACGGTGGGGCTTTCTAACGTTTTTTAAACGTACTTATATATTGGATGCTGAGGCAAAACCTTAAAGTAGAAGAGGATCCTTGCAAGTCTCAAACTAAGCAGACGTTTCAAGGACCTCCAAGCTTTGTGCAGCTTTATGCACATTAAAGTTAACTCAGTTGCACTGTGCAGCAGTAAATACAGCATTGTGGTTTTGGCTGTAGACATCATGAATCTAAGTAAGATCTTAAAATAGGGAATCGTCACGATTTAAGTGGACGTTTGAAAGCCAATCATAAAAGACTATTTTACTATTGAGATTTGCTTAATAAATAACTAAAAAGATCCGTTTGATTCAGTTGAACTCTGCTCTGCTGTTTGGCTGCATGATATATTGTGACGCCAATTTGTACCAGAAAAAAGGGAGCATTAAAAACATATGAGTAACTATAATCAGGAGTTTTTATAGAACTATTTCATGCTTAAATGGTTCTTCTGATTGATAGAGAATGAGCTGTATAGGGTTCTGTATAGAACCTTTTTGAAAATGCTTCTATTATAGCACCAAAAAGCATCTTTCTATTGTTAAAAGGTTTATCTTTGTAACAATAGCAGAACCCATTTTAGTGCTATATGGAACTGTTTTCAAAAACGTCTATATAGAACCATATACAACATATTTTCCACCAATCTGAAGAACCATTTCACCATGCAAAGGCTCACTTAAGCATGGACGGTGCTATGGTTCTAAATGGAACCATTGCCTTTAGTAAAGAACCCTTGAACCATCTTTTTAAGTATGTAAGAAATGCAGTTTCCACATGCAAAGGCATAAAAATGCTGCATTTGGTCACCAATAAACACTATAATTAAGAAGCTTCAAGCAAGGATACACAGCTTTAGGCATTATGAAAAACTGTTATAGAGGTTAATTGGTTTCCATTTAGCAATATAGAATAAATCCAGCAGGTTTGCTGTACAGTATCATGACTCAGATTTGTACCATGGACCCAATTTACATATTTCCATTCAAGTAGTAAATTCCAAACTTCCAAACAGGATATGGAGATACAAAAAGATGACCTTTTTGCTTAGTTTTAGTTGTCAACAAAGGAAGCTTGTGATTTCTTGGTAAGAATGTGAGTTTAAATGTAATCCTAACAAAGTTTGGAAGTTTTGTTTACTTTTTTGGAAAGAGAAAACTCCACACACCCCGTCTTGTCTCCAGGCTTTTTATTTTATTGTTCTGTTTTAAAACATTAGGTTATGAAAAGGTACAAATATGTACTTTTCACCTGGGAAAAACCTATTTAAGGTGCACAACTGGACCATTGTTGTACCTTAGAGGGTACATTTACATCGTTTGTACCTTGAAGAATAAAGAATGTACCTGCACAGAACCTTTATTTCTAACAGTGTAATGTACGATGATAGTGTAAAGTTTTGATGTATCTTCACCATTAATGCAGAGAAAAATCCAGAGTGATGTCTAGACAGACTTCTACACAGTCTACAGAGCTTCATCACTGATCTACGTGGCAAAAGAAAGTTCTTCAAGGGTTTAGTAAAAACAACGGTTCTGTTTAGAACCATGAATTATATAAAGAACCGGTTCTTATATAAAGAAATGGTTCTTCAGATTGACAGAGAGTGTGTTGTATATGGTTCTGTATAGAACCTGTATGATGATGGTTCTATATAGCACCAAAAAGGGTTCTCCTATTGTGACGATGTCAGTCTTGTAATCATAGCAGAACTCTTTTTGATGCTAGAACCATTTTCAAAAAGATTCTATATAAGGCCATACATCTATAAGGAGCCATTCCACCATGCAGAGAACCATTACTGGTTCTTTGACCGTTCACAGTTCTAAATAGAACCACTGTCCTTACTAAAGAAAGAGTTAGTGAAGTGTTGGCATTTTACACGATTAAACTGATGGTGTTTGTTACGCTTTTTGTCCACCAGAGATGATGGCACCTCAGCCAGAATGGCTGGAGAAAAGGCAGCATCCGGGCAAGCGCCAGCACCCAGGCAAGCGCGAGGAAGAGGATGAAGAGGACGACGGGGACGACGAAGATTACCCCGAGCTCCAGAAGAGGCAGCATCCCGGCAAGCGCGAGGACGAGGCGGACTTGATCGAGCTGCAGAGAAGGCAGCATCCGGGCAAGCGCTGGATGCTGGAGCAGATGCAGGAGACCCCCGGCGCCCCCAGTGTCTTTTTGAGCGAGCTGGCCAAGCGCCAGCACCCGGGCAAGCGGCTCATGATGTACAGCAAGCGGCAGCATCCCGGCCGGCGCGAGGCGGACGCGGGCGACCCGGGCGCTGGAGAGTTGTTGGAGATGGACAAGCGGCAGCATCCGGGCAAGCGCTTCTGGGACGCGTCCGCGGCTTCGGACGCGGCCGCCGGCGGGCCGTGCGACCTCCTGGCTTCCCCCAGCTGCAGCAGAGCCAGCCTGCTGCTCGAGCTGCTCGACAATGTGAGCAAAAGCCGCGCGGAGGAGAAGAGGCAACATCCAGGAAAGAGGCTGGCCGTGGAGGAAGATCTACCAGAGCTGGAGTAGAGAATTAGGTGGTGAGAATTCTAAGCGTAAAGATAAACAACCCAACAACGTTTTTATTTTTAGGTCCATATTATCCTGAGCCACATGAGATATGCCGTAGTTTGGAGAAGCGCCCGTTCTTCTGCTGCATTAGGATAGATGCCTAGATTATAATTTGGATTAACACGCATAAGAATGTGTTTGAATTATGTACAACAAATCAGCGGACCTGTTTGGTTGGCTAGATTTAAGTCGCAGAGTGTTTGGTTACTTGGAACAGTACGTGCGTAATTACGCACGTAGCGCTTTTACGCATGTGTGTCCCTGTTGCGCTCTCACACTGCAGCTCATTCTCTGCTCATAACAGCTACAAGTTTACAGTACTGGTTTAGCGAAACGTCTCTTTAGTTACTGCGTCTTATCTTCACGAGATGTGGTTGCAGTTCTCAGATCTGCGCAGCTCTTACTAAACTAAACTGAACTTAACTGAACTAAACTAGGCTTATGTCTCATGTGCTCAGCACACAGAATGCACCGGTTTCTGCTTTCCACAGTCAAGCTCTTTGTGTTAGTTCTGTACAATTCGAGTGGATATTCCTTGCAAAACGGGTCGCGCGAATTATTTTTCTACAGTATGTACGTGCATGAGTTGGAGAACTTGTCGATCTGTAAATTATTTCTGTTTCTATGCTATACAGCATAAATGTAAATTACAATTATGTATAATAAAATGCTTTCGATGAGAATGACTACAAGCGCGTCAAAGACCAGGAACGAGCGGCGTGTGTGTGTGTGTGTGTGTGTGCGTGTGTGTGTGTGTGTGTGTGTGTGTGTGTGTGTTCGTTTGTTTTCGTGCATTTTCACAACAAAAATGACCAAGCTGACCTGAACGACCTGGTTTGACTCTGCAGAAATAAACAAAGAAAATCAGGTATAATACACAAACCTACCTGAAACAGTCCTGACAAAGTAAATACGTGTTACAGAACCTACATGCTTCATTACTTAAATCTCAAAAAAAGGGCAAAAGTATTTCGTTTTGGTAACTGAGGTTAGGGGTATACATATATGTATGTGTGTGTATATATATATATGTGTGTGTGTGTGTGTGTGTGTGTGTTACTGTCAGAACAACATCCCCAAAATTCTAACTCTACAGGAGAAGTAAAAAACCTACTTTACTTTTAATGTAAGTCAATGTAAATATTTTTTTCCAAGTCATTGTGGTCCATTTCTTTTGCTCCACTCATTATGAAATTTACACACAAGGTAAAGGTCAACAGGCATTCTTAAATTATGTCAAAAACTGGAAAAGGTTTTGTTCCGATAGCAGATACATACATACATACATACATACACACACACACATATATATATATATATATATATATATATAACCATGAATACATAGAGTGAGAGAGAGTACTGTGCAAAAGTGTTACCGGTTTGGCAAATTATTGCTTGATTACGTTAAATGAGATGTGCTGCTGATGGAATTTATCAAATATATGTGATGTAGGCATTGAGAAAAAATCCAGAACCAACTAAAAAGAAATTCTTGTTCTTTTTTACTGCTTTAATTTTGCATTAAGTTTATAGTGTTATATAGTGATATAGTGATTATATAGTGATGTTACAAGCAAAAATGCACTTATTGCCCACATAAAAGACTTTCCAAAGTAATATATACTATATAGGTTTGAACAGGTTTCGAACAGGTTTTGTTGATGTTCTAAGTTGAAACATTCACAGGAAACAAATGTAAATATGGCCTTTTTCCTTGATAATTGTAGTGCACAGTTTAGTTTAATATATTGGGAAAAAAACATTTAGCAATTCAGCAGGGAACTGTGCATTATAATGTGCAGAAGAGTGTTCTCTGTAGAGGATGTGTTAACTTATTTTCACCTAGAAAATCAACAAAACATGTCATTTGACCAGGGGTGTCTGCAGCTGCAGCTGTACACACACGCACACACATACATACACCTTTCACCCTGTTTTTCAATGGTCAGGACCACCACAGAGCAGGTATTATTTGAGTTATGGTTCATTCTCAGCTTTGCAGTAACACTGATGTGGTGGTGGCATGTTAGTGTGTGTTGCGCTGGTGCGAGTGGATCAGACACAGCAGTGCTGCTGGAGTTTTTAAACACTGTGTTCACTCACTGTCCACTCTATTAGACACTCCTACATTGTTGGTCCCAATAGTAAATGTAACATCAGAGACTATATCTCATAAACTGCACAGTTTGTGTTGGTCATCCTCTAGTCCTTCGTCAGTGGTCACCAGGGACTGTTAGCTGGATATTTTTGGTTGGTGGACTATTCTCAGTCCAGCAGTGACACTGAGGTGTTTAAAAACTCCAGCAGCACTGCTGTGTCTGATCCACTCATACCAGCGCAACACACATTAACATGCCACCACCACATCATTGTCACTGCAGTGCTGAGACTGATACACCACACAAATAATACCTGCTCTGTGGTGGATGCTGTGGGGTTCCTGACCATTGAAGAACAGGGTGAACAGTGGGATCACAAATTATGCAGAGAAACAGATGGACTACAGTCTGTAATTGTAGAGCTACAAAGTGCACCTATGTGGTAAGTAGAGCTGATAAAAAGGCCACAGAGTGTAGATATAAGGAGGTGGTTTTGATGAAGTGGCCAGTCGGTGTATGCCTTCATAAGGTATAAAAATGAACATTTGTGTGTGTGTGCAAAGAAAAGAGACTGTGCATTCTTGTGAGAGAGGTAGAGTGGTTAGATCAATCACTGAGAGTCTTAACAAGGCAATTAGGAAAGGTACTTGCACATGCGTTCATTAATTCAAGTCAATAAAAGACACATTTCATGTCAGTTGTGCTTTAAGCCCAATTACACACAGCTCACCCCATCAATAAAGCTGCCTCACTCTTTTGCTTTTTATTGATCAGACATACTCTGCACTTAACTGGTTAAAATTCAGGAGAAGGCAGTGGCCTCTATTCTGCCGGGTCGTGCAGGGTTTCAATCTGTAGGCCGCGGCCAAGACGGCTGCAATTTAAAGAACTTCACGAGCAGAACACTTTCAACCAGCTCTACAAGCGAGGAGTAATCATACAGAATGTCAGTTAATTAGCTTCTGTAAGATCCAGGCTGGACCTCTAGCTCGACTCCACAGCTTCCTTGAAGATGAGGCGTAGGTGGCAACTAGCCCAGGCTTTAATACTTCTGCCCTTCCTAATTGCTTAAGCGTGTTCCATGCCGCAAGATTCTGTTCTTCCCAAGAATGTAAACGCAAAGTTTACCTAAACTGTACCTTTCACTTAAAATTAACATAGGCTTCAAAAACATTCTAACTGCTTTAAGCTCACTAAGAAAAAAAATAGTGCATGTAATTTACTCAGTTCAAATGTGTGCATCATTTCCATATTACACCAACACAGTTGTGGTTCTTATTATACAAGTCCTCTTGTAATGTAAAATCCCTATAACATATCATCACTGTGAAAAAGAAAAACATGTATTTTTTACTTTTCTAAATCATTTAAATCTCTAATAAAATAAGACAATAATAAAATCTCTTCCCATTAACTTACATTGAAAGTAAAGAATGTTTTGCCTACTTTTCTTTGTGAATGTACATATATATATATATATATATATATATATATATATATATATGTAACAACTGCAACAACTGCAACCAAACTACAGCTTCCTGTAGCTGGAGATCCGTCTTTTGGCCCACTCTTCTTTGTAGAGTTGTTTTTAATTCGGCTGCATTGGTCTTATATTAATTTTTTTTTTTAATATAATGAAACAAGTGTGACAAATGTGCAAAAAAAGAAGAGGTGGCAAATACTTTGTCACAGCCTTGTATATTTCTATTATGTGGAAATGATGTACATATTTGAGGTAATACAAATTAAGTGCATCAGAACAGTAGGCAAGAACAGTAGGCAAAGCTTTGCAATGGATAGAAATAAGAATCCCGCTTTTAGGTTCAGCAAATATTGTGTAGTGCTGTAAAAGTACACTTGTATAATTGTATAAAAACTTGCGTACAGCTTGTATAATTTTCATAGAAAAGCATGGCCAATAGAATGGGACACTTTAGAGTGCATGAGCTTAAGATCACCAGGGCCAAGGCCAAGCTTCAGCTAGACATGTATTAAGCCCCAAGCATTGGCCTGTGGAGTAGGAACTGTTTTCTGTTGTAATGGAGCTCCATTCAATACCTTTGGGATGAGTAGAAGTGGTGTTTGTGATCCAGAACTAGGCAACCAACATCAGCACCTGACCTCAGTCGTGCTCCTGTGGCTGAATGCAATCAAGAAATGTTCCAAAATCTAGTGTAAAGTCTTCCCAAAAGAGTAGAGGCTGCCACTGCAACAATGTGAGACAAACTCCCAACAAACACCCTTATCTTTGAAACAGGTAGGACATACACCAATGAGCCAAAACATTATGAACAGTCAGAGATGAAGCAAATTACATTGATATGTCATAACAACAGCACATGACAGCCTGGTATACATTTGACAGCAAGCACACAATTGGTTCTTGTAGTCAGCATGTTGGATGAGGGAAAAATGGACAGACATGAAGACTTGAACGACTTTCACAAGGGCCAAGTTATGTTCAGAGCATCTCTGAAATGGCAAGGCTTTGTAGGGTGCTCCTGAGCAGCAGTGGTGAGAACTTCCCAACAGTCATCTGTGGAGGAACAAAACATAAACTGGGTGTTTGGTGCCCAAGACACATTGCTGTGCAAGGGCAACAAATCTGTACCAAATCGACATAAAGACTACATTGGCACAAGTCAGTTTTTAATGATAGTAACATATAAGGCCTGGGTTTGGGAATTCATGTGGACATTTTTTGACACGTACCCACCTACCGAAACATCGTTATGGACCAGGTACACCCCTCAGTGGTGTTCCCCGATGACAGTGGCCTCGATCAGCAGGATAATGCACCGTGCCACATTCAGGAATGGCTTGAGGAACATGACAAAGGTGTTCAAGGTGTTGCCCTGAAAACCAGATTCCAAGGATCTCAGTCTGTTCGGGCATCTGTGGGAAGTGCTGGAACAACTCTGAGTGCCAACTGCTCCGCCTGACAACTTACAGGATTAAAGTAACAGATGCTAATGTGTTGTTGCCAGATATCACAGGGAACCCTCAGAGTTCTTGTGGAGTCCAGACCTTGGCAGACCAGAGCTGTTTTGGTGACACATGGAGGACCAACGGCATACTAGATAGGTAGTCATGATGTTTTGGCTCAACAATGTATATCCGCCTATTCAGCCTACAGCACTTTGGTTTGGCTCATTTATACTGAAGTTATAAGGTGTGCTTTAGTCTGCATTGCTTTCTGAATGGGGCACAATGCAGGGCAGTGTATGAGAACAAAGCTCATGTACATATATTAGTTAAGGCACGGTAACAAAAACAGCATGTTTAATTCTAAGGAGTGGAGAGAGGCTGGAGAGGCTGGAGGTCATATAAAAATAGATTAAAACCACACAAACATACAAAGTGCAAAATACAGTACAAGAAAAATACAGAATATGGGCACTTTAAACTTTTTTATTCTAGGCTTGTGTGGTTTTATGTGAGAGTTTGTTCTCAACTAATGAAGACATCCGAATGAAATCAGAAATCTACTAATTTTTAGCTTTGAGTACAGATGCAAACAAATTCCAGTAAAACCTCTTTCACATGGATCTGGGCACAGTTTAGGTCACTAATGCTTT